AAGATTAGAACTAGCAAAATTTACTTTTTGTTCATTGTTTCCAGACCACCTCCCTTGGTCATTCTGGCTGGGGATACGGGAAGTTGTAGCTCAAAAACCTTTTGTAGCATTTTGCTGGAAAGACAGCTCAGCAATTGTTTGATTTGTTAGTACATGTAGCTGCCTTTTCCCTTAAGAAACTAGCAAGAATCTCGGTTTCTACTGTTGCCGGGCAATTCCCTGCTATGATATTTCATCTGTTTTCTTTGCCACTGAATGATTTGAATGGTCTGCAGCCAAATACATGATTTTGCTCAATTTTTAGTGGAGAATACATTAAGCCCTCAACATTTGCTGGGATTAGGAGCACAAGTGGGGAAATTGTAAATTAAAAATGCTACTTTTCAACCTGAGATAACACCTCTCTAGGAATCTCTAGCTCCTCCATCAGATTCTGGCAGAGGTTGACCATAAAGTTGTCTGGAAGATTTTAGCAATTCCTTGAGAGATATTTTCTCATTTTAATCAAAGCCACAATGAATCAAATCTGCCAAAATCCAACCTTCAAATGTTAATAATAATAATAATAATAATAATAATAATAATAATAATAATAATGCTGTCACGCACTGGGCCTGTGAAAAGGTCTGTAGACAGGATGTGTTCTGTATGCCCAACGGGACGCCGGGGGTGTCTCAGATTAGAGGCCCTTTGAATTTCCCTAAACAAAGTCTTTAGAAACTTGGAAAGTTTAACAAAGTTCTTTATTATTGCTTAGGTCTTCAATAAACCAAACAAATACTTCAAGGCTTTGAATCAACTGGTGGCTTTCTTAATCTTATCCACAAGGGACAGTCAACTATCTTCATGAACTGTTTCTTTACTATCAGGAAAATCCTTGACCTCTACCTGTGCAATCTGTCTTAGGCTCTGCTGGCGTGGGCCCCTACACCCGGTCCAAATTGCGTTATGGCTGCCGCGAGTGGTCCTTACCAAACAGAGTCCTTTTATAGATTTCCAAGAGGAAAGAAGGTCTTCAATTCCCAGCGAAGGCTGGCTGTAAAGCTGTGGGACTGGACCCCCAGCAAAAGAGCTGTAGTTCTCTGTAGAGCTGTGGGACTAAATTCCCCCAGCAAAAACTGTAAAAGATGAAGCTTTCTACAGGTGGAACTGATTCACATCCTGTACGAAAGGCTTCTCTGTGTGAACTGAACTAGAGGTCCCCTTTTTCCCTCCTAAACCCAGAAAAAGGGGCGGAACTAAAGAACCTAATGATGATTGATGGGTCATTGGCCCTATAATTGCAAACAAAGGGAAGCCACCTTATTGCAAAATGCATGGAACTTTGGAATACATGCAAACACTCAAAGAAAGAAAAAGAAGTTGGAGCTCCTGGTACAGCTGTACCAGAACAATAATAATACACCGCCGTCCTGCAGATTCAAACTGCCAAACTTCAGGTAAGCAGTTCAGCAGCACAAGGGTTTAACCCATTGAACCACCATTGAATATGGAGTACCAAGACTGATACAGATATTGTATATGTTCTTTATAATTTTCATCAGTTTCATAATGGTTCAGTGGGCTAAACCCTTGTGCCTGCAGAACTGAAGACCAGTGAGTCAGAGGTTTGAAACCAGAGAGAGTGCATATGAGCTCCTGTCAGCTCCAGCTCCCCATTTGGGGACATGAGAGAAGCCTTCCACAAGGATGGTAAAACACCAAAACATCCGGGCATCCCCATGGCAATATCCTTGCAGATGGCCCATTCTCTCACATCGAAAGCAACTTGCAGTTTCTCAAGTCACTCCTGACACGAAAAAAAATCAATTTCATAAAAAGTTTGTTTCAGTTTTCTGAGTATAAGAGTTTCCATATGCTGAGTTTCCATATAAGTTAAGATCTCAGTAGGCATACTTTTATTTAACGAAGCCTCTGGGATTGGAGCTCCTTTTTACACTGTAGTGTTTTTATGCCCATGAGCCTGTTTTACTTCCATATTTTTATGTATCAGAAAGGGTTTTTTTTAGACACATCAGGAACCTATCCCTGTTCCTTCCATTTTCTATTAAGTAAATAGTGTACCTCCTTTCACTAAATGTCATCATGCCCACACCACTGCTCTTGTCTTATGGATCTTCTCGTTATTTCTTCACAGCTGCACTCAAAACATGTTCCTCTTGGGTTTTGCTCTGCGTGGAAGTGCTGGTGTCAGATTTACCTTTTGTCAAGTCAGCATGAGCATTTCCTCAATGTTTTTTCCACTGAGGAAATGAATCTGTGGTTGCCCATCCGGTTCTCCTACATTTTTCAGGATCTTGATGCAAAAAGGAATGTTAGCTCTTCCTTTGTTAGTAGTTCTATCTATTGTGAGGATAGTATGTGTATGTCAGCACAATAAATCCATTCTGTTCCAAGAAAACGTTTAAATGGTGTGGACTGTATAAATTATGTCAATCACAAAAGCAGGCATATGTTTGGATTAGGTCTCCCTGGCTGCTTGTATTTGGAGTTGAATGTAGAAAATGGGTGGGAATCACGCCACCATAACACCATCTTGGGATCCCACTGACCTCCCCAAAATCCTCAGTTTGGTTGGGGTGGTGGTAGTAAAAAGCAATTGTCTTTTGAGAAGAACCACATTTAAATGCTCAAGAAACCTTGATTTGGTTTACAGTCAGCCCTCCAAGTTTGCTGGAGTTAGGGTCTCAAGAACTTCATGATTGTGAAAAACTTCAAATAAAGGGATTGCTAATTATTTTACTGCCAGCTTAGAGCTCCGAAAATGAGAGATTTTGCTTTTCCTATGTCCTGGTTGAAGAGGAAATTAGCTTATGTCTAATGATAGCCTTCTGAACTTTGGCTTAGGCTTTGTTTTGCTGAATGATAAACTCTCATTGGGTTGTTGTAGGTTTTTCGGGATGTATGGCCATGTTCGAGAAGCATTATCTCGAGAAGCATTCTGTTCTCCAACATAGCCATACAGCCCAAAAACCCTGCAACAACCCAGTGATTCCGCCATGAAAGACTTCGACAATACATAAACTCTCATTGTTCTTTTCCAAGTTACCCTGTCAGCAATGTAAAATGCTATCCTGGTTGTAAGAGCCCAAGGGGAGGCCCTTCTCCACATCTTATCAATATCTGAAACTCTGCCCTAGCCCTGATATTAGAAAATGGGAGCTGTGGTTTATCAAAGAGTGCTGGTGCTTCACCAGACTGCAAAGCCTTGTAGTGTAGATACACCTTATATTTGGGTATTATTATTTTGAAGGGACAGAGTTGGCCAACTACAGACAGAATGTTTTCTGTAGAAGTCCCTTCCAGAGGGAGGCAGGATTCATCCCTTCTGGGCTTCCCCTGAGCATCTAAGATAGTATTATTTCACATGGCCTTCCATCCCTCCAATGAGGCATGACAGTTCTGGCTGTTTTAAATGTGAGTCATTTTAAAAACTATTTTAATTCACTGTTTTAGTCTCCTTTTATTTTTTTATATTTAATGTTTTACATGTTTTGGTCTGTTGTACATCAGCTCAAGATCCTTGGCACGCTAAGAGCCATGAAATGAAAATGTTAAATAAATGTGTGGGTCCTACTGAGACTTATTTATTTATTTACTTACTCTCTTTGTATCTTGCCTTTCTCTACTTCGAAGGGGACTCAAGGCAGCTTTATATATAGCAACTATTTAATGCCTTTGAACGACAAACAGTTAAAATACATTAAGTTAAAGATTTAAAATTAAAATTAAATACACATTGAAAACTTGTGGATTTGCTCTCCAGTAGTGTGCCGAGATCTCAAAAACTTTTCTTAGTTGAACTGCATTTTATTGAAGATGGGCTCATTTATTTTTAAGGAACTATTGAGCTAATGGCTACATCTGCTCAAAAATGATGTGTGAAGAGCAAGAGCAAAATTCTGAGGCCAGGGTTTTACAGGATCAGGTGGACTGGGATTCAGTCTCTGGGTGCCATTTGAGAGTGATATCTGGCAGACTTGTGTTGCAACCTGTTGCAACCATGGTGATACTGATACAGACTGAGTAACCTTCGTCCAAAATATTTGAAAACAGAAGTGTTTTGGATTTTTTTTCCTTTTTGCATTTTGGAATATGTACATAATGAAATGTCTTGGAGATCTGAACCAAGTTTAAACACATAATTCATATAAACCTTATATACACAGCTTAAAGGTTATGTCATGCACAATTTTAATTAATGAAATTAACTAATGACATAATGATAATAATTTATAACCCCTTCTCTCTCTCAGAGCAGTTTCCAAAGTATAACAAAAATGGCAAACATTCTATGCCAAGAACAAACAAACAACAATCAAGGCAAAACAATGAAGTTTGCCTCTATCTCAATCTCAGTAACCCATGTAAACAATATAGGATTTGTATTGTCGAAGGCTTTCATGGCCGGAATCCATGGGTTGTTGTAGGTTTTTCCGGGCTATATGACCATGTTCTGGAGGCAATTTTTCTCCTGACGTTTCGCCTGCATCTATGGCAAGCATCCTCAGAGGTAATGAGGTCTGACCTCATTACCTCTGAGGATGCTTGCCATAGATGCAGGCAAAACGTCAGGAGAAAAATTGCCTCCAGAACATAGCCATATAGCCCGGAAAAACCTACAACAACCATATAGCCCGGAAAAACCTACAACAACCCAATATAGGATTTTCAAGTATTGGGCTTCGGAATTCTGGATAAGGGATGTTCAACCTGTACCAGGTCATGACTTCAAGATACTTTACTTTAGTGCCTTAATTTCATCCTTTCATGGGCTGTGATCATGTCATGGCTCCTTGATGGACATCCCTTCCTAGCATCACTGTTCTTTGTGTTTGCCTCAGGGGAGCATCAAGCATTCCCCACACAGGAATTTTAATATGCAGAACTTCCCTGGATACTTCATGTCCTTAGTAACCATCCCAGGTGGGGATGTTTTCACTTTAATATCATCCACATTCCTATGTAACTCTTCCTTTCCTCCTCCCATTTCTTCACAGGCTGCTGATCTGATAATCAACCCATCCACCACTTTGAAAGAAAAACCAGACCCAAATGGCTTGGTTTTTGGAACTGTTTTCACAGATAACATGTTATTCATAGAGTGGTCGCTGACGTCCGGGTGGGAGGCCCCTCATATCAAGCCGTTGGAGAACCTGTCTCTACATCCTGCTGTATCAGCTTTTCACTATGCTGTAGAAGTGAGTACAACATAATTTTAGGAAAGAGGATTTAGTTTTCATGCTTCTATTTTTAAGTTTCTACGTATTTTTGTGTTTTATGAACTGTCTCAAAACCTTTGTCCCAGTGGTTTAATGCTAGGTATATCAGCACCTGAACTCTTGCTATCTCGTTCCTCTGAAATATAGCCTACAGCACCTAGGACTTGTAGACAATCTCCCATCCAAGCACTAATCAGGGCTGACCCTGCTTTACTTCCAAAATGAGATAGGACCAGATATGTTTAGGGTACCAAAACCCACATGTCTTATTGAAGCATCCCATCCTTGCCTTCTACACATATAATTTAATTGGAAATGTATTAAAAACAGCACCAACAACAAGAAGAAGTCGATAAGAGTTATAGCATCAGTCAAATTAAAATGTTGAATGTTCACAAGGCATACAAATTATCTGGGTATATTTTTATCCCTGTTCTTTGATTTTTGACATACTATCCTAAGTATGCATACTGTTCATCCAGTAAAGAAATATTACTAACAGTCAGCTTTCCACGTTAGCTGAATTTCGGGGCACAGGACCCCCACAAAAGCTGGAAAATGTGAGTTAAAAATATATCTGAGAATCTCTAGATCCTCTAGTGTGCCTCTGTGGTGAGCCTCTGCCAGATGACCCTGTCAAAAATCATTACATTTGAGCTGGTGTGAAAGTGTTATCTGCAGTGTTCACTCCATGATGATTCAGTAACACATACAAATCATCATGTGGTACCAGCTGATGGAGGTCTGTTGGCTCCTCTTGGTTAGCAGCACAAACTACATGCATTCTGCTAGGCCATTAAGTCTTACACTGTTGAGTAGTGTAGATATACTTTTGAAGCCAAGAGTGAATAATTGATCATTGCCAGAAGCCAGCGTGGTTAACAGCCAAAATGTTGAGGGCCAAACATCGCCATGTCTGTGCACATGTTATACCTCCATTAGTGTTGGAGCCTCAGTCAAAGGCATGCTTTGGCTGCCAAGGAGCAAGTAGAGAAAACGTGGGGGCATTCAAAGGAAATTACTAAATGTCCCCTCTTTTGCTAATTGTTTTTTTTAAAAGGTGAAATTATTTTGGCATTACCATATTCCTAATACTTTTCCAAATGCAAGGTGGGAAGAAAATCTGACCTCAACCTTTTTGCTTTTCCACCCATTCTCTAAGTTCATAAGAGGACACAACTAGGATATCAACAAATTTCTCCTCCCGCTTTGTTTTTCTTTAATTAATTTTTAAAATATTGTTTATCTTCTCAAAGCCGATCTTGTAATTCTTTCCCAGTCATTTCTGGCTGAAGAGATGTAGATTGTGTGATGGGCTCCCAGTTCTGATAAAGAGCAAGGAACCACGCTGGGGTCCTGGATGTTCGTCTCGCTCAAAGTAGCGTTGTTGCTGTGATAACGCAGTCTCTGAAATTTCCATTGCTAATGATGACTCTGCTCTTCTTCTTCTTCTTCTTTTCTATACATTTCCCCCGTTACTTTTCTTTCTATTTGTTTTTACCCTTATTGCATCACGTTTCCTCTAGCCAAGAGGACTGACAGAGGCGAAACTGCTCCAAATGCTTTGGCTCAATGAATACACAGTGGGTATAACACGAGATGACAATGACGCTTTTGGCATTCCCTCCCCATCCCATGTCTCTTTGTGTTTCTTGTGATCCATGACTTTTCCGATAATCCTGGCTCTGTGTGTGGTTTAGTTTGTGTGTTGCAGACACACAGCAGATGGCAGGTTACTAGTGTTCATTTGTTTGTGTGGAGTCATCAGGAATGAACATAAACCATCTCGCCAATAAAGTTCATTAAACTGCCTAGCTTGCTTGCCCATACATTTTATTTTTATTGAAATGTTTATATAGGTTGAGTAGCTCCTATCCAAAATGCTTGGGAACAGAGGTGTTCCACATTTCAGAATTTTTCCTGAATTTTGGAATAGTTGCATATACATAATGAAATATCTTGGAGATGGGACAAGTCTAAAGATGAAATTCATTTAGGTTGCATATATGCTTTATGCACATAGCCTGGATGTAATTTTATACACAATATTTGAAGTCATTTCGTGCATGAAATAAAGTTTGTGCACACTGAAATATCAGAAAGCAAAGGTGTCAGTATCTCAGCCACATCTGTGGACAATTATGGCTTTTGGAATATTTCAGATTTTGGAATTCTGGATAAGTGATACTCAACCTGTATTCCCTCCTCCAGCCGAGGATCCCATAGTGATATGTAGTAAAATCAATTTAGGATGGTACAATGCATTAACAATAATTTTGAAAGGCGAAAAAGATATTGAGTGATTTTTTAACTTGAAACCAGACAATTTAGAATAAGGACACCATTTAGAATCATAGAACCATAGAGTTGGAAGAGACATTGTGGGCCATCCAGTCTAATCCCCTGCCAAGAAGCAGGAAAATCACCTTCAAAGTACCCCTGACAGATGGTCATCCAGCCTCTGCTTCAATGCCTACAAAGAAGGAGCCTTCACCACACTCCGGGGCAGAGAGTTCTGCCAAATTTTCCAGGAAACCACCAACATAGCAATCTATAATCAGCACATTATTTGAATAATCAAGGTGAAAATAAGTTACATTTCACAAACAGGGTAATCAACAAGAATGAAGTTACTTTATTGGCACAGCAAGTAATGGTTTCTAGGTATTTTCACGGGTTAATTTTAAAAAGCTTTTTAAAGAAACTTTATATCATTACTTAGAATACTAGAGTTGGAAGAGACCATCCAGTCCAACCCCATGTCAAAAAACAGGAAAAATCACATTCAAAGCACCCCTGACAAATGGCCATCTAGCCTGTTTAAAAGCCTAGATTGCTGATTATAGATTGCTATGTTGGTGGTTTCCTGGAAAATTTGGCACTGCTTATGACGAATTTTAGTATGTTCAGTAAAAATGACAAGCAGTCTGCAATTTTTAAAATAACAAACAATGAAAGGGCCTTTGTGATTCCAGATTACCAAAAAAGAGGAAATGTTTAGTCAGTCAATTTTTTTCCTGGGGATGTTTGAGGAGGAGTAAGGTTGTTTGTAAGTCAGCATTAATACAGTATTTATTTATGTATTTACTATATTTATACCCCGCCCTCTCTCATTTATACCCCGCCCTCTCCAAAGGGGACTCAGAGCGGCTTACAAATTAGCAACAATTTAGTGCCATATAAACAACATATAAATACAATAAGCATGTACATTAAAAACCATAAAAGTTAAAAAAAATCTATGCATTAAAACCCATTATTAAAACCATGCAAATTCAAAATCATAGTCCAGGAGCCATTCCAATATTTAATATTCATATTGCAATTTCCATACCCTCCAACATCTCACAGATTAAAACAGGGACATGGGTGACCAGGCAACATCAGAGTATGGTCAAGGTGGCAAAAGTTATTCCTGATGAAGAGCACATAGTCTAGGAGAGGCTGAAGCAGTTTGCTTTTGCCTGAGCCTAATGAGAAAGGCAAGAACCTCTGCTGAATTGCACTGAGTGCAAACTTTGAACTCATTTTGAGAATTTGAAATAAGCTAAAAACAAAGGACGATGGTAAAAAAAAAAGTAAATGAGAAACTAGAACATTTTGAAATCAAGTGAAAAAAGAGGATTGATTGATTGATTGATTTATAGTATTTATATTCTGCCCATCTCACCCTGCAGGGGACTCAGGGTGGATTACAATACACATATACGTGGCAAACATTCAGTGCCATTTAGACATACAACATATATAGACAGACACAGAGGCAATTTAACATTCCAACTTCATGAGGGTATGCTCGGTTCCAGCCACAGGGGGAGCTGCCACTTCACCATCCACTTGTGACACTGGGTCCTTTGATGGAGTACTTCCTCATTCTTCTGCATGCTGCTGGAAGGTTTTATGGTGTCATAAATTAGTTAAATTAGCCTCCCCGCATAAAGCAGTACCTACATTTCCTACTTGACAGATGCAACTGGCTACTAACTAGCTGTGCCACAGCCCGGTCATGGCAGAGAATTAACCAGGATTGCCCTAATTAAATTGCAATTACTGGAGGGTATGGCTTTGTGAGGATCAGAAAAGGAATACTTTTGGAATAACAGCTCATTATCTTTACAATGATGTATCAGCACAGACAAGTTTTCCAACCCATTGCATATGGGAAGAGCTTCGGGTGTTCATGGCTTGACTTGAGATTGGAACCTGGGATTTCTGTTTCACGTTTATAGTCAACACACCTCACTGCTTCCCTTTCCCAATACAGCTTTTGTTTGCAGTGGGAAAAATACTTCCCTCAAGTAATTGCAAGCAGCTGTTTTCTGCTCTGTTGGCATGTCCAGAACTCCCCACTGGTTTCCCCTTTTGCTACTGAAAAGACCGGCAGGCTCAGCATGTTTTTGGAGATGTTTACCAAGAACAGATGAAAAAGCTCAGAGCGAGGCCTTTTTGTTTGTGGACAATAACTTCATTCTTCGTTTCCCCCCAAACTATGATGCAATTTTTTTTAGTGATAGCTAGAAATAATAACAAGAGATAGTCTGAAGAACATCTTCCACTAGTTGTCCAGCTAGGATAAGAACGAGCCACTCATCTGCACAGAACTATTTAGGAATCAATGCAAATTTACCCAGTGGAACTCCAAATGTGGTCTTAATAGCACTTTTTTTTCCTGTCATTCTACCTCTAGAATGGGGTGGGCAAGGTATATATAGAATAATGGCTATCCCAGGTTTTTTTGTAAAAAAAACTTGATGAACCCCATGCTTGTTTGTTTTTTAGAATTACTTTTAAACTCTGATTCCCATGAGTGCAGTGATAAACATGAAACTATGAGGGCAAGGCAAAAATGTCAGAGGAACCCTGGATTAACCAAGCACTACCATTCTAAACACCGTTATCAGGGAGAGCATTCTATCGAGTACAATAGGGTTTATGCCTAAGTAAAAATACATCACATCGTACTGGAAATTTACCACTCGTTAGAGTCTGTGTTCAATATCTCTAGTTTCATTCAGCATGTATTCAGGTATTCAGAGGGTGAAAATGTGTTTTATCTTCACATCTAGCATCCTTGTTCCTGACGAGTGAACCCCAGAAACTTGAATATTCATTCTGAAAGGGACTTTTCATATGCTCATCTGTTTGTTCTAAGCCTTGCAAAGTCTAGAACCCCAATAAAAGGATGGTCTAGAACAGAGCTCCTCAAACTTTTAAAGCTGAGAACAGCAACAACAACAAAGACTCTGACACAAGCCAGTAAAGGTGGTCCCAGTGGTGATGGGCACACTGCCTAAAGACCTTGGCCTGCACAGTCGGCGCTGACAAAATTACCACCTGCCAGCTGCAAAAGGCCACCCTACTGGGATCTGCATATATTATTTGCCGAAACATCACTGTCCTAGACACTTGGGAAGTGTGATCTAATACAACAGCCAGCAGAGTGATCTTGTCTGCTGTGGACTCATCTTGTCATGTTAGAAATAATAATAACAACAACTTTATTTTTATACCCCACCACCATCTCCTTGGGACTTGGGCAGTTTACATATGGGATAGAAAGTCCAACAGACAAAAAGCCAAGCAATCCATTTAAAAAACCCCACTAAAATAGGAGCATCATAAAATTCAGCAATCCAGATAAAATGCAATTAAACAGAAGAGAATAAAACAGCAGCATTGAAGCTCCACTAGACAATGTTAAAAAAAACCTCCAATGGGCAGAATTGCTAAAATCAGTGTGACCAGGCTATAAAAGGGTTGGGCGTGGGATAGTGCAAAATAGTGTACCATATGGCCAGGGAATTGGATGAGGTGCAAAGAACAGAATACGATCTGGCAACCTAGGGACTGGACATTTATACTAGCGACTAGTCGTTCTCAAATGCTTGCTGGAATATCCAGGTTTTCAGATCTCTGCAAAAGGAGGACAGTGTGGGGGCATGCCTAACCTTCATGGGAAGGGTGTTTCAAAGTTGAGGGACCACCATCGAGAAAGCCCTTTCCCTTGCCCCCACCAGCCATGCCTGTAACTGTGGTGGAAGCAAGAGGAGTACCTCCCCAGTGGATATTAGAGCCCGTGCCAGTACATAGGGGAAGATGTGATCACAAAGATAGACGGTGCCCAAACTGTTTAGGGCTTTGTAGGTCATAACCAGCAGACTATTTACACGTGCAAGTGGGGGGGATGATTAAAAAAAACCCCATAAACAAATTCTTATGCACACGGCTCATATCTTAGTTGTAGTGCAAAAAAAAAAAAAACATGACAGAACAAAACAATATTTAAAATGAAGAACAATTTTAAGCAACATAAACTTGCCGGTATGTCAATGGGAAGTATGGGCATAGGTTGTTGTGTGTTTTCCGGGCTGTATGGCCATGTTCCAGAAGCATTTACTCTTTATGTTTCACCTGCAGCTATGGCAGGCATCCTCAGAGGTTGTGAGATCTGTTGGAAATTAGGAAAATGGGGTTTATATATCTGTGGAATTTCCAGGATTGGTGAAAGAACTCTTGTCTGTTGGAGCTAGGTGTGATTGTAGCAATTGACAAGAGTTCTTTCTTTACTCTGTACATTTCACAGATATATAAACCCCATTTTCCTAGTTTCCAACAGACCTCACAACCTCTGAGGATGCCTGCTATAGATACAGGTGAAACGTCAGGAGAGAATGCTTCTGGAACATGGCCATACAGCCCAGAAAACACACAACCCAGTGGTTCCAGCCATGAAAGCCTTCGACAATAGCATGGGCCTATTTTTGATGAGATGGTTATGTTAACTTGGATTGTTTTTGTTGTGTGCCTTCAAGTCATTTCAGACTTAGGACAACCCTAAGTCTGATGTTTAGTGTGGGTGGCAGGTAGATGATCTTGGAGGGCCACATCCAAGCCTTAGTTCGGGGACCCCTGGTCTATAACTCTGACAAACTGGTTGGTTGGAAACTCAAATTATGGATTAAACAAGATGCATTTACAAATCTTCTTGTTTCCCTCTCATGGGGATAATGGCAGCAGGATTTGTCCAAAAGCCCCTTTACCTGCTTGACATGTTTTTTCTCCTGAACAGAGCTAGGAACATGACAGACACAAATCAGTTAGTGTTGACACAATGTCACTGAGCTTGAAATTTAAGCTTATTTGTGCTTTTGCTCTGCTTCCTTTTACAACTTCCTCATCCATTGGAATTCCCCTTCTAACTTCCTCATCTGAACCTAAATAAATATTGGTGTAATTCATAGTTTACCTGCAAACTAGAATCAGATATCATGCTTGGGTTAACTTAAAGGTAGAAGGTAAATACAAATAAAGTGGTGCACAATGAAGTCCAGGTCGTCTCATAGCATCAAAAACTACACAAGTGTTCTTAAATTACAGTCCCAATTCTTTTAAATTTGCAGTTCATTCAGAATTTGAAATTTGGCTCAAAACTCCAGTTAATCTGTCAGTTGGAAGTCAAAATACATACATCAAGAAGTTCTCCCCACTTGAGAAATTAAATGCAACCTCAAAAGCCCCTAATAAGATATTTGATGTTCCAGATTGAGAGATCCATTCTAAAATAAGAACTTGGATAGTGCCGTAATTCTCTCTATCATTTGTTTGCATGATGTAGGAGTTAGCTGTTATTTAATACTGAACATGTAAATCTTGTTTTGGACAATGTGTGTTTATTGTTATTAGCATTTTGGAAGAAGTATTTAAATCATTTGCTGTAATGTTATATATTGATCTTGACCATTACCAAAACACTTATTGTCCCCAATTTCTTGTTTTTCTTTGTTGCTTTAGCTATTTGAAGGCATGAAGGCATACCGAGGAGTAGATGGGAAAATCCGCTTCTTCCGACCAAGTCTCAATATGGACAGGATGTTGCGGTCAGCTGTCCGAGCCACTTTGCCGGTGTGTAATACAAGCATTTTCTTTTTCCCTGACCTACTGTGATGTAGGATGGCATTTTAGAGGCTTTTAAAAATACTAGTAGCCAGATTTTGTTCATTTTCATAGTTTCCTCCTTTCTGTTGAAATTATCTATATGCTTGTGGCCAATTTCAACAGAAAGGAGGAAACCATGAAAATGGACAAAATCTGGCTACTAGTATTTTTTTTTAAAAAAACCCTAAAATCAAGACCAACACTAGAAAAAGGGGAATCCCTGACATAAAACAATCAGGGCCAGCTGACACCTCCCAACAAAGGATCCGCCAGGCAGTAATTACTTAGTGTAATTTTATATTGTTGTATATTCATATGTTTTATATAATTATGATGTTGTTGTTTATTGTTTGCGTTTTCGGTTTGCGTTTGGTTGTTCTTTGCTGTAATTGTTGTTTGGGATTGGCCTCATGTAAGCCGCTCTGAGTCTCCATTGGGGAGATGGTGGTGGGATATAAATAAAGTTGTTGTTGTTGTTGTTGTTGTTATTATTATTTGAAGCTGCAAGACCATTCAGTGCTAATCAAGGTGGCCAACTGAAACATTCACGCTTGCCTCAAGCAGACAAGAGTTTTTTCTCCCACCCTGGACATTCCACAGATATATAAACCTCACTTGCCTAGTTTTCAACCGACCTCACAACCTCTGAGGATGCCTGCCATAGATGTGAGCAAAACGTCAGGAGAGAATGCTGCTGGAACATGGCCATACAGCCTGGAAAACTCACAGCAACCCAGTAAAAAATGCTGGGAGGAAACACAGAGAATCCATGTCGCTGTCTGTATTAGGGGATGAATTTAAAGGAAACCTTTGATGAGTCCCCTTTGTCTGCATCTCAACTGGCAGAAAACTAACTGAGATGTATAACACTATGTAACCTGATTTTTGTTCCTGAATTATAAATGTCATTTCCTAATTGATTCAATCATAAAAACATGCAAAAAGTTTATTAAAATGCAAAAAACTTTGTTTTTGCGGGACATCCTGCATCACATTTTGATTCAGTTTTATCATGAATATCTCATCGAGTCTCAACCAATTCAAGATAGTTTGTGGCAGCCACAAAACAAAGATTCTGGAGTATAACAACTACTTTCAAAGTAAGTTCCACACAATTAAACAAAAAGAACATTTCAAACCAGGAACAGGAAAAAAAATCAAATTGTATTACATAGTGTAATTGGCAGATATGGCATGATTAAAAGCTATGATAGAGACTGTGTGGGAGAACTGTAGAACCAAGTCGCTCCTGACACACACACAAGCACACACTTCCAGTGCAATAGTCACAACCTCACTTAAGCTTGCCAGAATGAAAGTGGAGAGGGTTCCCTTTCATAATTGTGTAGAAGATGGAAGGAGAGGAGCCCTCTCCAACTTTCAATCTGGCAAGTCCAGTTTTTGTATATTGAAGTGAGGGCACCCTTTTGTAAGAATAAATAAGGAAGGCTCCCTTGCTTCTGTTTTCAGAGCTTGGAAAAAAATCCTTTTGGGGACTAGAATGGACAAAATCCCCCCCCCCCCCTTTCTGTTTCCCTCATTTTCAAGGGTTAAGCATGTCCAGTGCAATTTCCCCCATACTCATGTGCTGGAAATAGATGTCACAGTTCTGATGAAATTGGTCAAGCTGGCTTATTTATTGGACAGTTGAAAAAAATCATCATGAGACCTCTTGGCATTGTGACTTGTCACACACTAACAGTAGTGTACTAAACACTGGGAACGTCACGGCCTCTGACTTAATGGCCCAATTAAATGTTCCCGTTGGAGTGTGTCCCCATGAAGGTTATTACTGCGCCTAAGCATCGTTCTCTTCTCATTTCATTTCCAGGGATTTGACAAAGAAGAGCTTTTGGAGTGCATCCGGAAACTAGTGGAAGTTGAAAAGGAGTGGGTGCCGTATTCCACCTCTGCTAGCTTGTATATTCGCCCTACCTTAATTGGGACAGAGGTGGGGGAAAATCGAACACCTTTTATTTGTTGTTTTTTTGTCTTTTGGTTTGTTTGTTTTTAAGCTATGCCAGATGTTGTCTTGTACCTAGTCTAAACATGGCAGTAGTAGTATCCCATGGTGGGAAAATGAATCATACTATTTCAGCTGATGCAAGGAGGATGCCATTTCAGAATTTTCTCTCTATGTATGTTTTCTCTTTACAAAACAAAACAAATTACATTAAGTGAGAAATGTTCTAGTTTGATCCTTGTTCTTTTTTGTTTTCTACCTGCCACTGGCCTCGTTATTTTCTTTAAAATGAAAGAAGATGCAAATATGTCCCCCACCTGCATTTTAGAAATGTGCCATCTCATTTCCTATTTATTTTTGAACATTTACCCACCCCTCACCAACCATGCTTCAAACATATACACTTGAATCTCTAAACTGTGTGGAGTATAATCCATAAAGTGCATGGAGTATAAGCTTTAGAGCAGTGGTTCCCAACCTGCGGTCTGTGGATCACCAGTGGTCCACAATAACTATAAATATGGTCCGTGGCCTCACCATTAATCCACCGAGAGTGATTGGTCTTGCAAAACCCTCTTATTATGCTGAGGCAATGAAGATGGCAGGAGTGGAGAGGTTGACTACCTACAAAAGACACAACAACAAGCCTCCTCACTGCTTCTTCTCCTCCTCTCTCCCCCTGAGTGGAGTCATTCCATGTGCCCCCTGGAAAGGGGGGGGGGAGCTTGGTGTCTTTGTTTGTAGGCCTGTTCCTGGGGTCATTTGGGGTTCTGATTCAGACCATTGCATTGGATAGACCACATCATCAGCTCTAGATTATTAAATATGGTTTTTTGTGGGTGAGCAGATGGCAGCTACTGGATGGCATATGTTTTGTATCAGAAACTAGAGCTGATGTGTATCCAATGCAATTATCTGAATCAGCACCCTAAACAACCAAACCCAATCTAAAGTTGGCCAAAAACAGATTTGTTACCTTTTTGGTACTAATGTTGGAGAATTGTCCTTGACCAAAGTGGTCCCTGGTCAAAAAAGGTTGGGAACCACTGCTTTAGAGGTTCACATGTATATGCTCCAAACATCTGAGGCTATGAAATGTAATCTACAGATTATCATGCTACATAGTCAGACCTCCACATATGCTGGGATTAGGGGCTTAGGATCCTCACAAAACAAAAAAAAGTAAATTAAAAATGTTTTTTTACAAAATAAAATCTGAGAGAACACCTCGCTAGGAGTCTCCTACGTCTTGCAGTGCAACTCTGCAGTCAAATCTGACTGTATCTGTAAACAATCGAATCTGCAAAAGTTAAACCCACAGACGTGGAGGACTGGTTGTACTTTCAAAGCAAGCACAAGACCCTTTGTTGTGCAGAATGCTTGGAATCATTAGAATTTAAGCTATAAAGACAAGAATCTGAACATGCAATGTGCTTAATTTATATTAATGACCCAGTCCAACAACAACAAAAAAAATCTTGATGTCTTGGGTTTTTAGACCTGTTCCTGAGGTTATTTGGGGCTCTGATTCAGAACACTGAATTGGATAGACCTCATCAGCTCTAATTTCTTAGATATGGTTATCATGATTATCTAAGGATAAGTAGGTGAGGACTAGTAGATGACATATTTTCTCTATCTCAAAAACTAAAGCTGATAGGGGAAAACTGGTCAAATGTGTCCAGAAACAGAGCTAATGTTTGAGGCATCTAAATGTATGTTGGCCAATCTTATATGTCACTGCAATCATACATTTCCTTCTGTAACCATGAGCTAGAGAAAACCCCATGTCCTGGAATACAATATTTGGAGAAGGGCGCCACATATCTTCAGGTCATGCAAGGCACTTTTTATAAGATCCAGATTAAATCAGTTGAAATTCCATTGCTCAGGGGAATATAAACACGTTGCCTTAGTCTTATTTACTTCAGTTGGAACCAAGTGTGACTAGCTTAGCCTGTATATGATCTCCTTTCTAAAACCAGCCTATCTTTTGTTGCCTGAAGATGTTAATGAATGTAACCTTCATTACTTGTGGTTTTTCCATGTTGGCTTCCCTTTTGTGTAGGGAAATGGCTCATGTGCTGTACTATGAGAGTGTTCATACTCTTCTTTATTTATATTGAAGAGATATCTATGTAGCAAAATTGGCCTGTGTGAAATATCCTGGCAGGGAAAAACACAGAAATATTTGGGATCTGTTTCTGTTGAAGTAATTTGAAAAGAAATGATAATTCTGCTGCTTTTTATAATAGTACCATCTAGTGGAAATGTTTTGTCATTTCACGTCACAGATGCATGTTCGTTTTTTGGATTGATATGCATCTCTCCTGCCCAATGTACTTTATTCATTGTGAGCCATCCTAACTTGCAGAAAGAGCAGCCACTGTTGCACACAACCCACAAGAAAACAAACATGTCAAAGGATCCATTGCACTTGATTGGAGTGTGTCATGTCTTTCATCATGTGCAACTATGAGCATCTTGAAAATTATGCTCACAATAACCTTGCCATTGCAGATGATGCAAGTTACATTGGTGGCACGTAACTATGTTCATCCCAGGGTGCAGATAATGATGTATTGCTTATGTTTATAATGGTCATCATCGGTGATCCACTTTTTATAGGGCAATGGTGTGGTTGTTGTAAACCTGATGTTTTAATCATACATGAACCAAACCAATTGTTGAATCAGATTTCTCTTTTTCTCCAATCTCCAGCCCTCCCTTGGAGTCAAGAAGCCTTCAAAGGCCATTCTCTATGTCATATTGAGCCCTGTTGGTCCGTACTTCTCAAGTGGGACTTTCAGCCCCATATCCTTGTGGGCAGATCCAAAATATGTCCGAGCCTGGAAAGGAGGAACTGGGGACTGCAAACTGGGAGGGTAAGGGATCCCTGACATATTCAGACCATAGCTCACGGCTTTCAACTTACTCTTTGCAAGCATTAGACCAGTGGTTCTCAACCTGTGGGTCCCCAGGTGTTTTGGTCTACCACTCCCAGAAATCCCAGCCAGTTTACCAGATGTTAGGTTTTTGGCCAAAACATCTGGGGACCCACAGGTTGAGAACTACTGCATTAGACTATTCTCCGATATACAAAGGTAGATAGTACCTCTAAGGGAGAGGAGGAGGCAAATTGCATTCAAAGCACCCCTGACAGCCTCTGCTTAAAAGCCTCCAAAGAAGGAGCCTCCACTGCACTCCAGGGCAGAGGGTTCCACTGCTGAACAGCCCTCAGAAAGTTTTTCTTCATGTTCAGGTGGAATCTCCTTTCCTGTAGTTTGAAGCCATTGCTCCGCATCCTAGTCTCCAGGGCAGCAGAAAACAAGTTATCTCCCTCCTCCCTATGACTTCCCCTCACATATTTATTTATTTACAGCATTTATATACTGCTTTTCTCACCCCTAGGGTGTCTCATCTCAGTCTTCTTTTCTGCAGGCTAAACATGCCCAGCTCTTTAAGCCACTCCTCACAAGGCTTGTTCTCCAGACCCTTGATCATTTTAGTTGCACTAAAATGATCAAGCTATCACCTGGCTTTCTTTGTTTCTAGGAAACATCAGTTAATTGCTTTGTTGAATTGGAAAAATGTCAGTGGAAAATATCCTGCCTATGGTATTTATTTACATTTTATTTATGGTATTTTTATACCGCTTTTCTCACCCCTAGGGCTTTTTCTATTTTGTCTCTCAATAGACAATAGGAAATAGAAATAGGAGCCCCCAGTGGCACAATGGGTTAAACCCTTGTGCTCGCAGGAATGAATATCGACAGGACGGGGGTTCGAATCTGGAGAGAGCGCGGATGAGCTCCCTTTGTCAGCTCCAGCTCCCCATTTATTTATCGTGTCAGTGCAACCAGTCGATTATATTACATTTCTAACAGAACAAAGCAAAAAAAACAAAACAGACAAAATACGAAAATTGTGAGTTTGGTAGTTGATTAAATGTCCTTTGACCAGTATCTGGCCACTTGGAGTGCTTCTGGTGCTTCTGGTGTTGCTGCAAGAAGGTCCTCCATTGTGCATGTGGCAGGGCTCAGGTTGCATTGCAGCAGTGGTTTGCTCTTCTCTACACTCGCATGTTGAGGATTCCACTTTTTAGCCCCATTTCTGAAGGTTGGCTCTGCATCTCGTGGTGCCAGAACGCACTCTGTTCAGCGCCTTCCAAGTCACCCAGTCCTCTGTGTGCCCAGCGGGGAGTCTCTCATTTGGTATCAGCCATTGGTTGAGGTTCTGGGTTTGAGCCTGCCACTTTTGGACTCTCGCTTGCTGAGTATCTCTGTAGATCTTAGAAAACTATTTCTAGATTTAAGTCGTTGATGTGCGGGGACATGAGAGAAGCCTCCCACAAGAATGGTAAAACATCAGAACATCTGGGCATCCCCTGGGCAATGTCCTTGCAGACGGTCAATTTTCTCACACTAGAAACAACTTGCAATTTCTCAAGTCACTCCTGACATGCACAAAAACAATTGTCTCTCAAATGGGAGGCTTTAGATGGGATTGCATAGAAAAGGGACCAGTATCAAATCCTTAACTTCTCTAGTAACGGATGTGGAAAATATCTTGGTATCAAAACAAAAAAACAAAAAAAAACACACACACAGAGGGCTACAACTAGTCAGTGCTGAAAACTCCACAAGATAGATGGAGCTGTTTTAAATCAGAGTATCATACTTTAAAAAGGTATGGGGAAAGTGTTGGCCTTCCAGAAATGTTTGTCTATGATTCCCACCAGCTCACCCAACATGGCCATCAGTAAAAAAAAATATGGAGCTTGTAGTCCAAAATATTTGAAGAACCAAGGTTCCTGCTTCTTGGCAGGAGGTTGGATTGGATGGCTCATGAGGTCTCTTCCAACTCTATGATTCTATGATCATCTCTGGAAACATATTTTTTTACATAGACAAATCACCTTCGCAAGTAATCCTGTGCTTTTTGTTCATTTTGGCTCTCTATCCAAAGACAAAGAAACTTTTGTTCAATATTTGGTCTTTAAAACTTTCTGGCAGATGAAAAGCATGACTTCAATAGAGGCTTAGGAATGGGGGACTCAGAAGAATTCCTCTCCTTGAAGATGGTTTATTCAGTGTTCATTTTCTCATGTGCTACAACTAAGAGTGAGGCTGGATCTCTGTTATGGTGGAGCTGGGTCAATTTTTTCTCCATAAAGGCTTAGCTACATTCATCTCCAGAGGTTGATGGCATCCCTGGAATGACCCTCTCTGATTTCATCAGATCCAGCAACGTGGTGCCAAGCTGAAGGGACGGGCCTGCCTGCAAATGCCATGTTTTTCTTGGCTCAGGGCAAAGACATCTGTGACTGTCTAGTGAAATACAGGCATTTGGAAAATATGTATATTTGATGGTTCCTAAGACATGGCACCAAAGTACATCTTGTCGTGCCAGCCAAAATAACAGACCATGCAGCTGCTGGTTTATGACGTTCAGCTAGCTGACCAAGATACTTTTCTCCCCCTAGAAGAGATAGCTGGCCATGCCTGAAACCCTTGGCAATAAGAAGCATTGAGGCTTTTTGTTCAAATATTCCAATTTAGAAAAAAGTCAGTGGAAGATTCACTTTGATGTTTTTTTTTTCATGTCAGGAGCAACTTGAGAAACTCCAAGTCGCTTCTGTTGTGAGAGAATTGACCATCTGCAAGGACATTGGCCAGGGGACGCTTGGGTGTTTTACCATCCTGTGGGAGGCTTCTCTCATGTCTACACATGAGAAGTTGGAGTTGACAGATGGGAGCTCACCCCGCTCCCCAGATTCAAACCACCAACCTTTTGGTTAGCAGTTCTGCGGGTGCAAGGATTTAACCCATTGCATCACCGGGGGCAGGACCTTTTTATAGTAACACCAGAGGCACTCCAAGTGGCCAGCTACTGGTCAAAGGACATTTAATCAACTACCAAGTTTGCAAACTTTGTGTTTTGTTTGTTTGTTTATTTGATAAAAATGCAATACAACTGTTTAGCTTGCTCCTGACATGATAAATAAATAAATATTGGGAGCTCCTACTTTGATTATAGTGTTAGACCATATACTCACATCCCATAAGTCTTGAGATTCAACACCTGGTATCTCCAGTTGGTCTGGAGACCATCTTAACCAGCTTAAATGTGTTTTCTTGTACCAAGTAAGGTGGGAGAAAGCCCTGTATATTTGCGTCTAGGATTTCATTTTGCCATTTCCTTTTGTTTCCAAAAGGAACTACGGGTCTTCTATTTATGCCCAGCGTGAAGCTATGGAATTAGGATGCCAGCAGGTTCTCTGGCTTTATGGAGACGAGCATCAAATTACAGAAGTTGGGACCATGAATCTCTTTCTGTATTGGCGAAATGAAGATGGAGGTACAGCAGCATGCCATATTCAGTCCTTGTCTTCATATTTTTGCCTGATATTTTTTTCTCAGTGTTGATTACCACATTTGTTGTAAAGCAGTGGTTCTCAAAAGAGGGAGATGCTTCTAGATAGTTTTACCCTCTAACAGCTGGAAATGCAGGTCATAGTCCATTAGCTGAAATCCAACAACATTTGGGGACCCACATTTAGATACCACTGTTATGAAATATTTGACTCAGCCCCTGCATTACTTGTCCTGCTGTTGCCAGGCTGCAAATCTTATTTATTTATGTATAGTTATTTATTTTAACCATGAAAATGAACAAAATCTGGCAACCAGTATTAAAAATACCCATCTAAAATCAGGACAGTGAATAAAGAACAACATTTAGAAAACAGGAGAATTCGAGACAGAAAACAATCATGGCCAGCTAACACCTACTAACAAAGGATTCCCCAAGGCAGTAAGCAGCAAGTCCTTGAATCTGCAAAGCCATTCAGTGCTAATCAAGATGGCCAATTGCTACATTAATACTTGCCTTTAAAACACTGGACTTTCCACAGATATATAAACCTCACTTGCCTAGTTTTCAACAGAACTCACAACCTTTCAGGATGCCTGTCATAGATGCAGGCAGAACATCAGGAGAGAATGCTTCTGGAACATGGCCACACAGGCCGGAAAACTCACAGCAACCCTTTTTTATTTTAGTCATATCTACAGTATTGACTAGAAAAAAACCTTGACCTGAGAAGCTGTGGTCATTTAGACGGTGCAGAACAGCACCCAAAATGCAATGTCAAGAGTAGGTCAGGAAGGTTGTAATCTTTGGGCCATAGCATTGCAATGTCATCGTTTTAAAACCAGGGATGAATTTAGAGCCAAGAGATCCTAGATCACGCTTTCCATTTTGATTGTTATGGTGTAAACATGAGTTCTCTATCCGATGGATTTCATAATTAGTTTGCAAGCTGGACTGGTGGTTTATTTACATAGTGGTGGCCTTTGAGTGGATGAGGAAGTGGGCATTAGTGAAGTCTCAGCCGTTTATCTTGACCTTTGAGGAAAGCTTGGCTGCTCAGATCAGATAGCTTTGTTTACCAACAATAGAGTATGGCTGCTATCTAGATTCTTCCAGCTATAATACATGCTGAGTGTAGTGGCATAATGGCATAATATTTCATGAATGAATGCACACTGAAGATTTTTCTGGAAGAACAGTGATCCTAGTCCAGTTGTTCCACACTAATTGAAAACGTACGAGGTCAAACACATTTTGTAAATGTGTTTTGAACCTAAAGAAAAACCAGTTTAAAAGGAAAGTAAAGAACAATGTACAATGAGGTAGGATAGAACAAAGGATCAGAAAAAAGGTGACAAGACTGCCAGATTAGAAAGTAAGGAAATATGCTCACGATGTCCACTTTGCAAAATAGGTTGTTTTGCTCAACTATGAATCAAAGGTTGCTGTTCTTTCTGGATCTTGAGATTACAAGCCTTTTGTTGTCAAGGAACTCAACCTTACTGCTGTTCTTAACCCCTTCCATTAAAAAAATCAGCTTAATGGTGTAACATTAGAAAATGTTGACCATTTCTGCTACCTTGGCAGCCAACTCTCTCCACAAGTCAACATTGACACTGAAATACAACACTGCCTGAGCTCTGCAAGTGCAGCATTTTTCTGAATGAAGCAGAGAGTGTTTGAGGACTGGGACAGCTTTAGGGATAACAAGGTGTTGGTTTATAAAGCTATTGTCCTCCCAACCCTGCTATATGCCTGCGAAATGTGGACTGTCTACAGTTGTCACACTTAATTCCTGGAATGATTCCATCAACATTGCCTGCGAAAAATCCTGCGAATCTCTTGGGAAGACAGGCGGACAAATGTAAGCGTACTGGAAGAAGCAAAGACCACCAGCATTGAAGTGATACTCCTACACACTCTGCTGGATGGGCCATGTTGTCTGAATGCTCGATCACCACCTCCCAAAGCAGTTATTCTACTCAGAACTCAAGAACAGGAAACATAATGTTGGTGGACAGGAAATAGATTTAAAGATGGGCTTAAAGCTACACTTAAAAACTGTGGCATAGACAACGAGAACTGGGAAACCCTGGCCCTTGAGCGCTCTAACTGGAGGTCAGCTGTGACCAGCAATGCTGCAGAATTCAAAGAGGCATGAATGGAGGGCGAAAGGGAGAAACATGGCAAGAGGAAGGCATGTCAAGCTAACCCTGATCAGGACCGCCTTCCACCTGGAAACTGATGTCCTCACTGCGGGAGAACATACAAATCAAGAATAGGGCTCCACAGCCACCTGTGGATCCACTGCCACGACACTACACTTGGAGGACCATCATCCTCAGGCTACTTACTTACTTAGATGATCCCTCGTAGTCCGAGGATGATGGTCCTCCAAGTTTGGTGTCCTGGGGGTGGGTTCGTAGGTGACTGTGGAGCCCTATTCTTCACCTGCATCTTCTCCCAGTGAGGGCATTGGTTTCCAGGTGGGAGGCAGTCTCGGTCGGGGTTGGCTTGATGCGCCTTCCTCTTGGCACGTGCCATCCTCAGGCTACGAGGGATCAACTAACCAACTAACATTCATGTCCACTTTGCAAAATAAGTTGTTTTGCACAACTATGAATCAGAGGTTGCTGTTCTGGATCCTGAGATTACAAGCCCTTTGTTTTCAAGAAACACAACCTTACTGCTGTTCCTAACCCCTTCCATTAAAAATTCCAGTATGTCTGGGTAAACCTTGCCAGGGTGCGATACACCAGAGAGGAAAATTAAATATTAGTGAGCAATTTTCCCCCAGTAGATGGAGTCACAGCTCTTCTGCAGTAGGTATGGAGCTGCACTTTGATTCTCAGTGTTGCTTTAATTTTTTTGAACCTCTAAAAATCAATAGAACAGATCATTTTTAAAAGCTCTTTCTTATAATGATTATGTTAAAGCATATTAAACTATATTCTAATCTGTTTTGTGAGCGGCCTTGGGTCCTATATTCAGAGAAATGGAAGTCACAAATAAAATAACTAAATGTACCCATTCATAGATTATTTACGGCTCATTGTGTTTAGTGTATTTTATTTATCATGTATTGGCACATACAATCCTGAAGGTCTAATCTTTTTCTCCAACGAATTGTTTATCTCCCCACTGTCAAATTTTAATCACAATATGGTAAAACATTTGGCCTTCAATTTCAATCACAAGCAAAAGAGATTTCCAATTGTAAGCAAGACGGGCTTTATCGTAATCATTTCTGTTTAATATTCCACCTTTGACCTATCTTGTAATGAAAGACAGTTGAAATTCTTATCTAGCCAAAGTATGCTGATTTGCTTTTGAGAACTTATTTGTGTTTATAGTAGTTTCAGATTTTAGTGAGTTTGAAGGTTTTTAATCAATGCCCCTTCCACACATCTGAATACAATTTCACATTATCTGCTTTGAACTGGGATACATGGCAGTGTGGACTTAGATATTCCAGTTCAAAGCAGATATTGTGGGTTATTCTGCCTTGATACTGTAGAGTCTCGCTTATCCAACCTTCGCTCATCCAACATTCTGTATTATCCAATGCAGTCTGCCTCCCACCCGGATCCACAGCTGTTTCAATATGTTGTGATGTTTTGGTGGTGAATTTGCAAATACAGTCATTACTACATAACTGTGCCGTGTATTAAACTGCTTTTTCTCTCAATTTGTTGTAAAACATAATTTGTAAAATCATAATGTTATTTAAAGTTTAATAGGCTTTTCCTTAATCCCTCCTTATGATCCAACATTTTTGCTTATCTAACCTCTTCCAGCCCATTTATGTTGGATAAACAAGACTCTGCTATATTCTGGGTTATATGGCTGTGTGGAAGGGCCCCATGGCAACTGATTAAAAATAGGTTTTTTTCTTGGCTGACAAAAAGAATTGCAGTCACTTTTATCAAATGCAAATAAGTTTTTCCTAACATTCCTTGGTGGGTGGTTTTGGAAACGAAGGTTAATTTGGGCTGTATGAAAGTGCACCAAAGTTAGCAGGTGGAAATCGCCTGTGGGTCATCTTCTCTGATTAGTGCAGTGACAGCTGCTAGAAAAATTGTACAGGTTGAGCATCCCTGAAATCTGAAATATTATAAAATTGTCCAAATAGGCAGCAGAGATTTATTGATTGATTTATTTACCACATTTATGAGCTGCCTTTCTCATCCCGAAGGGGACTCAGGGCAGCCTTACAAAAACAACAAATTGATGCACATATACATTGATAAACAAAGAAATACATTAAAATACAAACCAATTAAAACATGAACATGAAAACATCAATTAAAATTCCATAATCCAGGTAATATTCCAGGGCTGGTCCAAGTCATCATTATGTTATTTTATAGTCTCTTATTGCACTGCTCCCATTTACTGATCGAAAGCTTGGTCCCAGAGCCATATTTTTAGGGTTTTTTTTCTGAAGGTCAGGAGCGAGGGGGCCGATCTAATTTCACCGGGAAAGGAGTTCCATAGATGAGGGGTCACCACTCAGAAGGCCCTGACTCTTGTCCTCACCAGTCTCGCTTGCAAAGGTGGTGGGACCGAGAGCAGGCCTCCCCTGACAATCTTAACCTCTGAGGTGGATCATAGAGTAACACCTTTGCTTTCTGATAGTTCAATGTAAACAAAATTTGTTTCATGCATAGAATTATTAAAACATTATATATGAAATTACATTCAGATTATGTGTATGATTCATAATTCATGTTATGATACATAATTGAATTTCGTGTTTAGACTTGAGTCCCATCTCTAAAATATCTCATTCTGTTTGTGTATGTGTGTGTGTGTGTACACACATACATACAGGTATAAGATTATGGTCCCAAGCATTTAAAATCATGGTTTTCCATGCGTGGAACAGCATTGCATCAGAAGTCTGTGGAATATTTCCTAGCTCTGTCATGATTGGTTTGAGGGGTACTCATTGTGTAGTCCTTCGTTTTCACATTGGGCTGTTTTGTATTAACAGAAGAGGAGCTGGCAACCCCACCGCTAGATGGCATCATTCTTCCCGGAGTGACAAGGCAAAGCATTTTGGACCTAGCACGCAAGTGGGTAGGTAACCTCTGTGAAGCTCAAGTGGCAGCTTTGTCATTCACTTAACTATTACTGTTCATCTAGCCTCAGGCTCTGGAGATCTGTAAGCATATTTCTAGCAATCTCCTGAAAGTGATTCTTCATAGAGTTGGGCTACATGGGCCATTTAGTCCAACTCCCTGCCATGCTGGAGAAGCACAATCAAAGTATCCCTGACAGATGGCCATCCAGTGTCTGTTTAAAGCTTCCAAGGAAGGAGCTTCCACCACACTCCGAAACAGAGTTCCTCTATTGAACAGCTCATACGGTCAAGAAGGTTTTCCTAATTTTCAGATGGAATCTCCTTTCCTGTAATTTGAATCCATTGCTTCTAATCCTAGTTTCAAGGGCAACAGAAAATAAGTCTGCATCCTCTTCCTTATGACATCCTTTCACATATTTATACATGGCTATCATGTCTCCTCTCAACCTTTTCTTCTGCAGGCTGAACATACCCAGTTCTTTAAGATGCTCCTTGTAGGGCATGGTCTCCAGAACTTTGATCATTTTAGTCACCTTCCTCTGGACAACTTCCAGCTTGTCAATATCTTTTTTGAACTGTGGTGTCCAGAACTGGACACAGTATTCCAGGTGAGGTCTAACCAAAGCAGAATACAAAGGCACCATGACTTCCCTCAATCTAGAGACTATACTCTTTTTGATGTAGCCCAAAATCCCATTTGGCTTTTTTAGCTGCTTCATCACACTGTTGGCTCATGTTCAACATGTTGTCCATGAAGACTCCAAGATCTTTCTCATGTGGGCTGTTGTCAAGCCAAGCACCACCCATTTTTCTATATTTTCATTTCATTTTTTTCTGCCTAAGTGGAATATCTTACATTTCCCCATGTTGAAATTTATAATTTGTTAAGGTCATTTTGAATTCTGATCCTGTCCTCTGGAGTATTAGCTATCCCTCCTAATTTGATGATACCTGCATACTTGATAAGCATACCCTCTAAACCCTCATCCAAATGATTAATAAAGATGTTGAACAATACTGGGCCCAGGACCAAACCCTGTGGCACTTCATTAGTCACTTTTTTCCAGGATGAAGAGGAACCATTGGTGAGTACACTTCAGGCACTAGGATATTTGGCAGAGAAGGATAAAGACATTGTAAAACTACAACTCTCAAGACTCTCTATCATTGAGCCATGGGAGTTAAAGTGTCAACTGCATTCATTCTACACTGTTGACATATCTTTAATTTTATGTATTAGGGACTAAATATAATTGCTGGTACAAAGTGGGGGAAAGACTTTGAATCAATTGCTGAATGGTAAATAACCATATATTTATCATTGATTCAATTTTTGTACTGTAGTTTGGACTAGCATTTGGGTTTTTTATAATATATGTTAAAAATCTAAAATGTATGTATTTTTAAATTGCCTTGTTTCTATGCTTGAAGATCAGAGCATAAACTAACCTGCTAATGGGTTGCTGTGAGTTTTCCAAGCTGTATGGCCATGTGCCAGAAGCATTCTCTCCTGACATTTTGTCCTCATCTATGGCAGGCATCCTCAGAAATTGTGGGGTCTGTTGGAAGCTAGGCAAGTGAGGTTTATATATCTGTATTTATCTATATTCCACAGATATATAAACCTCACTTGCCTAGTTTCCAACAGACCTCACAACCTCTGAGGATGCCTGCTATAGATGTGGGCAAAACAACAGGAGAAAATGCTTCTGGAACATGGCGAGACAGCCCGGAAAACTCACAGCACCCAGTGATTCTGGCCATGAAAGCCTTCGACAATACATTCAACTTTCTAATGTTTTATAAAGTTTTATAACGCCTTTTTTGCTTAGTATGTTTATAACTCACCTTTTCTTAATGAAGTGTAAGGGAGCATAGATAGTTCTGCCTTCTTCATCATTTTATCTCAACAATCTTGTGAGGCAGACTGTGTTGAGAGACCCTAGGTCAGCCAGTATTTTACTTTGTATTTTATGGTTCATACACATTCAGATCACTAATTATTGCAAAGCGGAGAAAAAAACTTTAAATAAGAATTTCCTTCCTCTGTAACTGCTGCTTGACTATAGAAGCAAGTGGGCTGCTTTTAAAAGAAAAGGAATGGATCTTATTGATTTATTCTGTGCTTATCCAACTTTTTTTTAGGAAGAATTCAAAGTGTCTGAGCGTTACATTACCATGAGCGATCTACAAGCTGCTTTGAAGGAAAACAGAGTGAAGGAGATGTTTGGAGCTGGGACGGCTTGTGTCGTGTGCCCCATTTCCACAATATTATACCTAGGAGAGGTGAGAGTATTTGTTTCTTTATTTATTTGATTTATATCCTATTTTTCTCTCAAATTGTGACTCAAAGCTACTTACCGTATGAGTTAGGTTAAAGCAACAAAGCTAAAGCAAATGTTTTTTAAAAGCATTAAACCATCAATCCAATTTAAACATCATTTTAAGTCATTACTTTCAAACAAAAGCACATAAAATATGTGTTACATATTTAGAAATAACACAACCATTGTGTATACCTCTATTCCAAACTTTTAAAGACTGAAGTTTGTTGTTACTGTTGACCATTAGGCATATTTATTTGTCTTATTGATGTTCGCAGAACTCTTCATTTGCATCACATTTTGAATGGGTTGATAGTAATATAACAACAACAACAACAACACTTTATTTATATTCTGCCCTTCTCCCCTTGCAGACACAGAGCAGATTACAGTATAAACAGATATTGTCAAACATTCAATGCCTTGTTACAATTCAATGAGACACACAATCACAAACAAAGCCGAGGAGCCTTCGTTTTCACCTCCTGATCATGTCACTAGCATACTTGTCAGAAATATTAAAAATTAATTAGGTATTTTTAATTACAAAATGTGAGTCAAGCATTGAAAGGGTTAAGTGGGTGCAGTGACTCAGCAAAAGCTGTAATTCAATACAAGAAGGTGTGCCTGTTGCTTAGTAATGCCTCAGTCTGAGAGAGCTCTCTGTGTGAGAGAACGCCTTAGTGTGAGGGAAGCCTCAGTATGAGAAGGCCTCGTGTGTGAAGCTCAAACTTTATTTGTATCATGGTAACCTTGTTCTTGTAAATAGTTCAACCATATTATTTTGCTTTAAAGAAAAGCCTCCTAAGGAAGAGATAACATTGGTTTCTGTGTTTTTGTTCTTTTTATGACTTTTGGCTACTGATGCTGGATCACGCTGCTGCTGATAAGTTACTCTGCTGTACATTTATGAGGAGGGTCTTTTGTTAATAAGCCCATTCACCAACAATGCCAGCTTGGAGTATCTTATGTCTTTACCACCAAAGTGATACCTATTATCTACTCACATTTGCATGTTTTTGAAGTGTTGGTTGGCAGGAGCTGGGCTAACAGCAGAACTCACCCCATCTTGCAGATTCAAAATCCTAACCTTCAGGTCAGCAGTTCAGCAGCACAAGGATTTAACCCATTGCACCACCACAGCCCTTATACTTTTACAGCCATACATAGAAATGCAAAAAATGGCATTGGCAATCCTGACTTTAATATTAGAAAACTGAAAGCCTATTTATTAAACAGGAGAGTTTTTGGTTGCTGTCGAAAACAGAGCAGAGAGGCCGTCAACCAAATGTCTTTCACCATATCAAAACGTGGCTAATAAGGCTCAGATATGACTAATAATTTGTTGATTGTTTAGGAATTTCATTGTGTTTGGGCTTGTTTGGTTATTATTTTTCTAAAGCAGTGAATGTTTATTAGGCTTCTTTGCCAGCTCTGTTTGCAGTTGGTGTTTCCCAGTGAACTGGGAATTTGTTTGTACCTTAAACATTTTAATCTCAAAGAAGACTTAAGGTAATTGAAGTCACATCTCAGAAGGAGGAAGAGGGAAAATAAAATGCTCTGCTTATTTTTCATATTCCACAGGAACGACAACATTTCTAAACAGCTTTATATCATTGTCCTTTCTCTCTCTTAGAATTTGCACATTCCAACCATGGACAATGGACCTCAAATAGCTACCCGGTTTTTGAACCAGCTGAGTGATATCCAAGTAAGGTTCTAACTTCTTTCCAGTGACAGCTATGCAAAAAAAAGATGATTAAGCTGCTCTTTACATTTCCACTGAACTGGTCTACATGGGATCTTCTGAATTAGGAGGCAGATTCAGATATGTTTTTGTAATATGAATGCAATATCTGACAACTTGGATTTCTGAAAAAGTGGAGTTAATGTAAAACTTGAAATGTTACCAGAAACTTGGGTTCTGGTTTCTAGGCAGAGTTCCAGTTCGATTTGCTATTTTGGCAACCCACCCAAAGTCCTAAAACAAACAACCCAACAGTATATGACAACTTAGCAGTCCCTATTGATTCTAATAAGTTTAGGTTGGGTTGTTGTAGGTTTTTCAGGCTGTAACCTCACAACCTCTGAGGATGCTTGCCATTATTGCAGGTAAAACTTCAGGAGAGAATGCTTCTAGAACACGGCCATACAGCCCGAAAAACCTACAACCCAGTGATTCCAGCCACAAAAGCCTTTGACAATACATTAATAAGTTTAGTTTATCTGCAGCAAACTATTCGGATTTAGGGTTCTGTATTTCACTCTTCTACCAGTATTACCAAAAGCCACCAATACCCAAGTTGGATTGGATAGAAACATAGCCCTTCTTTATTCTCCAAGTTGGACATGGAGCTGGAATGAGCCCAGAAACTGTGCAGGAAGGCAAACGGACTATAAACAATTCAGGTCCAACTTACTTATCTCCTCATACCAACTTGCCCACTGTTTAAGATCTTGTGGTGAGACCCTACTCTCATTTCCACCACTGTCGCAAATGCGTCTGACATCAACAAGGGAGAGGGCATTTTTGGTGGACACCCTGACCCTGTTGAACACCTATCAAAAGAAATTAAAACAGATCCCTCCCTTTCCTCTTTCAAGAACCAATTAAAAACTTCCCTGTTTAGATAGGCCTTTAGTGAAGGAACTAAGCTGGAGTAATAAGAAACGCCATCATATTTATGGACTGGAACAAAGTGCAATATAATGCCACAAGAATGTGAATGCATATTATTGTTGTTTTAAACTGTTTATTTATAGATGTTTTATGCTTATTATCAATATATTTGATTTGTTGTATGCATGATTTTAGTATGTTGTAAGCCGCTTTGGGTGCCATGAAGGAGAAAAGCAGGATATAAATAATAATAATACCTCTGAGGATGCTTGCCATAGATGCAGGCGAAACGTCAGGAGAAATGCCTCTAGAGCATGGCCCTATAGCCCGAAAAAACCTACAAGAACCTAATAATAATAATTATTATTATAAACAATAACTTTTGGCCAAAGGATGCATTGAGCCTTAGCACTGATTTCAGTCCAACCTACTCACAGCATTGCTTGAGATAGATTAACTATTAACTTTACTGTAAACAACAAAAGGCGCATGAGCAAATCTAATGCCTACATTGATTATCCTTATCTGATATCAATGTGAACAGCACAGAATGTATCCAGAGATTGTTTGTTGTTAAAGAGGATGTTCTCAGGATCAGGCTGTGATGCTGTCTGCCTGTTGAATCCTACAAAAAATGTTTTGTTTGGGAGAGAAGTCATTAATTGAACTTCATGGTTGAGGGAGAATCAAGTCCAAGATCTCACCTTCGTTAGGCATTCTAGTCACTGTAGCACGCTTACTCTCTTAATGCCTTTTGCTTCTTTTTTTTTCCAGTATGGAAGAGAAGACAGTGAGTGGTCAGTTGTGGTATCATGAGCACAAACAGCAGTGAAGATTCAGACCTTCCGGCAACACAACCAGGCAGGCTGAAGTACCACCGGAACGATGACCAGTTTTACTGTAGCTCTGCATAGAGTAGTTCTGTGTTTTATCACTTTGTTCCTAGGCTGGGATGGGGGTGATCATTTCCATGTGCCAGGAGGGCGTGTGAACACAATCATTTTGATTTTCTACTGTGATCTTGCTCTAGAATAGAAACCTGTCTTCTGGTAGAGGTGCTAGATGTAAGCAATAGACACTCCCCTAGTGGATTCCTTGGTGCCCCCTCGTGTCCTTGGTACAACTGACAGGTGTGTTACAAAGTTCTTCAATTGCTCTTCAGTGCAAATCCAATACTTTCTGATTTTTTACCGCACACCAAACTGGTACATGCCGTGCAATTGCCAAAGGTCTCAGAGAAGCCTTTGAAGTCTCCGAAGCCAGAATCCTCTAGAATACTAGCATAATCCCCAGTAATGCTAGCACAACTACTTTTTCTGCCATTCTGTACGGAGGTATCTAGTACCTACTAATAATAGTGTTGCCAGATTGCACAAAAGATGCTAGATGGTGCCAAGCCCCTCCTGGCAGGCTTCTTTTTGCCTTTCATCTCCTAGACTTATGATATGTATATTGGCATAACTTCACGCAGTTTCAGTAGGGTCTTGGATCTCAGAGGGATATATGTTATTTATTTTAGGATTTTTATTGCAGGGAGGGGGTGTCATTTTTTATCCTTTAGGTGGATGGATATTTCTCTTCATTTTCTAGCATTCTATATGAATCTCTTTTTTAATGTGTCCAATATATGCCTTGGTTAATTAAGCCAGGCTTCATGGCTACGTATTTTTCTAAACAATAAGCATTGAACTGAGTTTTCTTATGGTACCTGGGGATGGCATACCATGAGCAAATTCAGGTCACAGGTTGTTTCTAATTCTAAGTGACTTCTGCCATCATCATACTATTAGGTATTATATAGAACTTCAGGTGATCTAGATCTGGGTAATGTCTATACTGCACTTAATTGTGCAGTTGTTTTTCTATTGGTTGTAGAATTTCATCCAGCGTTTGGAGTAGTCCCAGCTGGTAGATTGTGAGAGTTGTAGTCTAAAAAAAGTAACTTTTCTGAGCTCTGGTCATATTCCCCAGGCATCTCATGCAGTCTAATTATGTTTACCATCCACAACACTACAACAAACAAACAAGTTCAAAGAGCAAAGCTGGTTGTTTGGATAGAACTTTAGTCTAGTGGAAGAACTGATCAAGTACTATCTCAAGCGTTCTGACATGTTGGAAAATATATAACCGGATGTGAGCAGATGCTTGCATAATCCATTTCATTATTATTTTTACTAGCAGCTAGCCGCTAACTAGAGCCAGTTCAAAATAGTGACCACAGACAGCAAAATTGTGGTTCAGGGGTCAATGTCAATTGCTTTTTGCACCCCGTGAACTTTGCATTCTATATATGCTAGTACAAATCTGTATTACATGAGATACTTATTGGTGCCATTATCGCTGCCATTTTGTTGTTGCCATTGTTAAGCATCAAGAGCCAAATAGACTTGTCCATCTGTGGCCAAAGGATCCATCAATCTACTGTATATTTTGATCTATCTTCTATCCACACTTATCTAGACCATGTAGTTCACACCTTAAACCTCTAATAGGGCTTTTAGAAACATATTAAGCATAGGAACTCAAATGAGATGGGAAGTTATTTAATCCCTGCTCTTGCAATATTTTCTTCTTCTTTTTTATTGCCTTTTCCCTCTGTCCTGATCTCTCCCAATTTTGGCCGAGCTCATATCTCTGCAGCTAATAGCCTTGGTTGTTTTTTCTCCTTTGCCCCACATGAATTTTAATATGAACTAAGTGAGATGATCATCTCATGACAGATTTTTTTTCCTCAGCTAGCTTTAAGACATCCCTTGCCAAAGAGATTACTTTAATACATTCTTCAGTGCTCTCGCATTTCCAGTAGCAACATATTTATTAAGTAAATGTTATTCTAGTTTTATGGGGGCAGCAATTGAATGATGCTGGTAAGGTAACCAATCAAACAGTGCAGAGAATGGCTTCTCTGTTTTGTTGTTGCACTAAGGCAGGGCTTTGCAAAATGGTCAGTTTCTTTCTTTCTATATACAGGTAGGGTGAAATGTGTGAAATTTTCAACTTTGCCTTTTTTTTAAAACAGAACCTACCTCTACCTGGTGATTTGATAAAAAAATCTAGATATATATTCAGAATCTCTTAGTCTCTCCTCACCTCTCCTATCAATTCCTCATGGTTCTCTAGAACCATGACATGATCATTCCCAAACTGTATTACTGTTTGGGATGGTGGGAATGGTTGTGGTAGAAAGAAAGCATGTCAACAGGCACATGAATAAGGACATCTAGCATCTCAGGGAGTGGTACTATAGCACAGTATTCATGTTTTTCTTGTGCAAGAACAGAACTGAAAATTAAGACCAGAAGTGGGTGAAATGTTGCCTACGAGCCACATGGCTCATCCTCTACACTAGCACTACTGCTTCCTCCTGTTCTTGGAGGTTGATTGACTTCCTTCTTGTGATCATGCGAGCACCCTGTATAATGAAGGATGTCCCAGTCCTGGCCCTTCATTTAGCGTGTACCTGCTGGATCTGGGGCTGCTCCATGGCAGATATCCACTTTGGTAACTTGCTCAGTGTAGATGTGGCCTGGCTCTACTATGGTTGAGATGACCAATTGGATTATATAGCCTTGTTCTAGAGTAATGAGCAAAAGACACCAGGGACAGATTTCCATTTCAGAAGCCTCTGTATTACTTTATTGAAGCTCAGCTGAAGCAGATAATGCCAGACATTGTAGTGTCTTGTATTCATGTCAAGTGAAAAACATTGTGCCACTTGAGATAGAAGTAGTGCTGTCTATTTTTCTTCGTGTATGTTGTGCTCCAATCATTGTTCACTTTTAATCCAAGTATTGCTAGCCAATGGTGGTGTATCTAGAACTCTCAACTTCCTGCTTGTAATTGGTCACATTTTTAGTAAACTGTGCTGTAAATTTGATGTTGAGTAGTAAGATGACATGACCAAGGCTACTATCATAACTGAAGAGTGCCTTTTTACCAGAGGGAGTGTATTAAGGGTTTCGCCTGGTTGAGACCAAAATTTTGGTGGCAAAGATGGCATCTGAGAATCCTCTTTGTCACTATTTCATTGTAAAAAGGCAAGAAAATAAAGTTATTTTTTGGAAAGTTACTTTTTAGAAGCTATTCGTTATGTAACGTATTACAGGGACCCTTCCCCAATAATTTAGTGATGTTACAAGCTTATTATATTGCTTGTTGACCTACTTAATACTTTTCTATTACTTACTAGGGGGGGGGGATAACCCCTTCAAGGAAGCAGTTGAAAATTTTTTAGCCAAATTGCTTCTGAAATGACTAAAATATTCATTTGCAGGGATAAGCAAAGGAAACTTAAGCCTTTGCTTCACCGCAACTCTCCCCTTCCAACTATCCTCCTCTCAGCTGTTTGAGCCCCATCAGGATTTCTAAAAACTCTTTGCTATCTTAAGTGGAGAAATGAGAAATTGGCTTTAGGGGAGTGGATTCCAGGTGAAAAGTGAGTCAGGGAATAATTTAGCCATTGTTTCTGCATTATCTCCCTCCTCTGCTTTTTTTACAGTGAGAAATTACAATTTGGGCTCACAGACCCCTATGCCTGTGCCGGTGAAAATGTTTTCTAGTGTCAGATATTTTCTTGAACATATAAAATGTTCTGCTTGTGGCAAAGCTGGAATTTTAAAGTAAAATGTTTGGTGGTACACTGAGATAGAGACCTCTAGTTTCCTCCCCTTGTGAATATGATGGATACCTCCTTCTGCCTGGTTTTGATTTCAGGGTACTATGAGCTGGTGGAGAGCATAAATAAAGTACCCAGATCCCTAGTTTCCTCCTTTCTTTTCTTTAAAGTGTTCCCATAGTATTTACCAATTTTGAAGACCCTCTTCGAAAACAACTTGGTAAATACTTTGGCAGGCTTTCTCACCAGGCCTGGCTTTCCAGTAGGCAGAGAATATAAGAATATACAGTAGAGTCTCGCTTATCCAACACAAACAGACTGGTAAAACATTGAATAAGCAAAAATGTTGGATAATAAGGAGGGATTAAGGAAAAACTTATTAAAGGTCAAATTGCATTATGATTTTACAAATTAAGCACCAAAACATGTTTTACAACAAAGCGACAGAAAAAGCAGTTCAATACACAGTAATGTTATGTCGTAATTACTGCATTTATTACCAAAACAGACAAGAGTTCTTTCTTTCTCCCACCCTGGACATTATTCCGGGCGGGAGGCAGACAGTGTTGGATAATACAGAATGTTGGATGAGCGAAGGTTGGATAAGTGGAGACTCTACTGTATTGACTTTATCTTTGAGATAGACAGGTTAAATAGTATGTAGTGGAACTATGACTCTCAGAGTCAAAACACAGAGACCTCTTGATTTGTAATTCCTGTGGTAATGCAAAGTATTTGAGAGTGGCGTTGAATGGGGGACCTGGGACCTGTTGGTTTTGCAAAAGGCCTGTTCATGGCATATATCCTGAAAAACACTGGGCACACTAGAATGAAGTCATATTCAAAATATCCTTGATTCATAGATTTTTTTAATGGTTTTGCCATAACCATTGTAGACTTTCATAGTATCTGTAGTCATTATATGCTGTTCATTCACTGTAATTGTTTGTATATCCCCTGATAATGATTGAAGGAAAACTATAAAAATGTGACATTGTAATACAAAGGGACAGAATTGTTACTAGATGGGGATGTTTTATATCAAGATGTATTTTTGAGTTGTTTAAGTCTGTATTCTGTGTACAGATGTTGGAGAGGTTTGGAATATCGAGATTTTAAAGATGCTAGACTAGGAAGAATTGCCAAGAAAGTGGACTGTTCTTAGTATAACTATGCCAAAGCCACATCCAATGTATTGCTGTCATAGCAAATCTTTGACAAGATACTTCTTGGGAATTCAACTGAAGAGTTAAACCAGAACTTGGAAATGTTACTTTTTCAGACTCCAATTCCCAGAGTTTCCTGGCCAAGATGGATTCTGAAAACTGATCTGCAAAAATTTTAGGTGGAATGTAATTTCAGGGTACATGGAAGCCGAAGGAGAAAGGAGCCTGTCATTACCTCCTTCAGTATGTCACATTTTCTTCTATAGAGCACATTGAAGCCAATGACATTTTTGATACAGTTACAAATCTGTACTAAACTGCAAATATGAACATGATTGAGCAGCTCTGTTAGCTAACTAGCTCCAACAGAACTTGGATCTGTTTGTTTTTAAATTAGCATGATTGCCTTTTCATTGATTACCCACCTGGGTTTTTTTTCTTGTTATCGTTCCTGTTGTCCAAAAAGTTAGACTGAAGTTATTCATGTGTTGCTGCTACTATTGTGCCATTGAGAAATACTGGAAGATGCTGTCTGGTTCACCCAATTCAGATGATGGAATCTGGAAATTCTGAGTGAAATTCAGATTTTTAAAAACAAAACTGTGCACTTTCTTCCCACTCAGATGCCTTGGATAACAACTCACACAAATTGATTGGAGATGAGATTTCCATTTCTCAAAAATTAGCAGTAGATGTTGCATTTTCAGCATCCTGCTGTTTTTAGCACCCACCTTTCTCTTTCCAGTCCCCCGTATATTGTCAGTGATTCTTACTTGGGCAGAATGGAGATAGGTTAATTTTTTTTAGAAGTTTTCTTTTGAAAATCCCAACTCATCCAAGTCTTTAGTGCAACCTAGATTTTCCAAGTGTCTTCTCTACATCCCACCCCAACCCCCTCCATAACTTCCATATTTGTTGCCAGTACATCTCTGCTCCTCACTGTCTGCACAATGCCACCCATGTGACCTTTCGTCTTTCCTCTCTAATTGCTCAAACTTAATACAAACACACCCATTAATGGGAGATTGAAACTCTTACATTCCACTAAAGCTTAACACAGGTTATTGTTACTCTGTACCTTACTCTGTTGTGTCAAAGTAATTAACTGAACTTCAGTTACTTCCTATTACCAGTTCCTAGGGTGCATTTCCTTGAGTGCTACATCTAAATCTAAAGATCCATGATAAAGTGGTGTTAAGACTAAGGATACATCTAAACTGACCACTTAGAGCAAAAGCTGGCAATATCAACTGTGCGGCGATCAGACTATGCATGGAGTTAATCTGCATAATTGACCCGCATTAGCCAAAGTTGTGGGTTGCTCTGAATTCTCTTCCAGAATTCAGAACAACTCATAACTTTGGGCCTATGTAAACAACTGAGCCGGTTTCAAGATGGAACTGACTGCAACTGTTTACATAGCCATCCCATGTTCACTAGGTCTGGGTGGAGTTGACACACTGTATGTCACTGACTTTACCCAGGTGTGACATGGGCCTTGCCAATCACTTGTTGCTTGGAGTGATGTCGGCCAGAGCGAGAAGGTGATGGGAGAAGCCCCTCACCTTGTTGCTCTGGCACCCTAATTGATGTCACTCCAGGCAATGACCCAACTGGCAGGACACATGTTGCACCCAAAGACCTCCACAGTGAGAAGAATGGGAGGTGACAGGGAGTCTGTCTGGCAGTATAGAACCAGGTTCAGTACCACTGGGTGGTCAGGATTCCCTCCCTTCTCTTCAGCAGCGGAGAGGTGGCTGCTTAAACCATCCTGGGAATGATCTGGTGTATGTCACCTGGGATAAGCTGTCGGTGTAGCTCCAGCCTAAGAGCCCGTGGAGGTATTGTTGAAGGCTTTCATGGCTGGAAACACTGGGTTGTTTTAGGTTTTTCGGGCTATATGGCCATGTTCTAGAAGCATTCTCTGCAGACATTCCGTCTGCATCTGTGGCAGGCATCTGTGGTGTCACAAGGTCTCAGAATGCCCGCCAGAGATGTGGGCGAAATGTCAGGAGCCCATGGAGACTTTGCAGGTTGTGTAGACTCTTTTCAAGAGAAGTGCTCCAGGGAAAACTCTGGTTTTAAAAAGGAATTTCTGTAGTCCTTCCACATTTTGCAGGGGCTACAGGCACAGGGCTAGGTCTTTTTGGGGGTGGGGGAACTGGCTATAGAATCACACTGGAGGACCTAGAAAAATGCCTCAAAAGAATGTATTTTTTTAGTCACATGTAGGGCAGCAGCAGAGGCAGAATCATTAATAATAAAACCTGCAAACGTGGAGAGACGATTGCTCTAGAAACTTACCTTGCTCAGTATATGAAGCCATAATTTTTAACAGTTAACATAAAGGTTGTAAACAATTGTTTCTCTATTTTCTCTGATGTAGTTGGTACCTAGGCTGCTGTCTGCATCCGCCAGGCCTAAGTATGCATCCAAATAAGAATTCTGCCCCTATGACATTTTCCTTCACTCCCCAATGCAGTGACATAAGGCTTCTAATGTTAAAGTAACTTAAAACTTTAATTAAGCATTTTGAAATACAGTTAGGCACCCAAAGTTGCAAATAATGCAAAAACAGTATAAATGAGCATTTTAATTGTGAAAAGCTTTCAGTGTTCCATTCTCTGCAGTGCTAAAAATTTGGGGACTGAACAAAAATTTCATTTTGGGAATTGAATTCTGATTTAGGGGGACAGTGGACCCATTTCATTTCCTCCTGTAATTGCATTCCTGTATTAACTCAAGATCTTTTATATTTTTCTGTTTTGCTTCCTTACCAAATGCCCAACCTGCTTTTCGGCACAAGCACTTTCCAGGTAGACATCTAGGCAAGCGACTAACAAAGTCCAGAAGAGCTGAATGCATGTATGTGATACTCACCTCTTCACTCTGTGGCCACTGAGTTTAACTGGAGTGCACTCTTGTGTCTTTGCAATGTAATAGAAGAGTATTTTGTATCCTGGGTCTGTTTTATGTAAAAATTGAGTCAACTTGTACGAGATGGGGGTTCTTTTGCCTGTTTTTCCAGATTGTGGTTGCTAAAGGCTCTGGTTTTTAAATGTCCTTTTTTCCCTTAAATGTAAAAGAGGTTAACGGATCACACTCAAACCAGCAGAGTATTTTGATATTGCGTGACAATCCTATCGAAAAAAATAAATAAAAACTCTACCTTCACTTGTTTATATTTTTATTGTTTGCACAAAAGGCAAAATGCTTGCTCAGTTTTGAAGAAAAATATATATCTGTAAATAACCAAAGTTCATCTTGGAAGGAAATTGCTTGGGGAATACGGCTGTACCTGTCACATGACATTGAGAGTGAATTAATGTAGTTTGATACCACTTCAGCTGCCCTGGCTAAATGCTATAGAATCCTGGCTGTTGTAGTTTTGCAATGTCTTTAGCCATCTCTGCTAAATAATAATAACAACACTTTATTTATATTCCGCCCTTCTCCCCTTGGGAACTCAGAATGGATTACAGTGTAAACAGATACTTGCAAACATTCAATGCCTTGTTACAATACAATGAGACAAACAAAGGTGAAGGCTTCTCTTTTCATTTCTGGCTTTGGAGGTGGTGCTCATCTCTGGCTCTGGGGTAGGTGCTGTTCTCCATTTCCAAACCAAGGAGCCTGCATTGTCACCTCCTGGTCGTGTGAACAGCATGACTGCTTGGGGTGTCTTATGCCTTTCCCACCTAAGCAGTATCTATGTATCTGCTCATATTTGCATGTTTTCGAACTACTAGGTTGGCAGGAGCTGGGCTAACAGTGGGAGCTCACCCTGTCCCATGTATTCGAATTGCCAACCTTCAGGTCAGCACAAGGATTTAGCTCATTGCACCACTGCGACTCCTCAGGAGTAATGGTGCCTCCCCTATTTACAATTCTCAGGATGAGCATAATGCCTATTGGTACATGAGACCTGCACTCATCCACATAGAGTGCAAATGAGAAAATAGTTAACAAATTTCAAAAGCACCGTTGTGGGGAAGTAGAATATGCATACACATGGAATGCAATGACAAATCTTAATATGAAAGCTACTGGTGTATTGGATGTGGTGACCACACAGAGAAAGTTGAAGCATTTTTAATCTGAAGGAGTTTGAAAGAAGAGGAGTGAGAGATGGGAAAGAGGGATTTTGAAAAATGTTCTACTTATAAGAAAAAAATAGACAAGGGAAGGAGCACAGGCTTGAAGGATGCACACTTAAAATAGAAGTGAAAAGTTCATACCTTCCAGCATTTCACAGATGGGACACATGTGCTCAAGTAGCATCAGAAAATTGTCAAAATTGCACAAAATATTAATGAGGAAGAACACAAAAGCTAGGAGAAGCTTCACCTGTTGTTGTTGTTGTTGTTGTTGTTCATTCATTCAGTCGTCTCCGACTCTTCGTGACCTCATGGACCAGCCCACGCCAGAGCTCCCTGTCGGCCGTTACCACCCCCAGCTCCTTCAAGGTCAGTTCACCAGTTAACTGAATGAAAACTACTTCTGCGCTTGGAGATTAACTTTCTACAACTGAAGTAAGCTGAGGACAAAGATGGGAAGTGGAAGGAGAATGCTGGGGAGGAAGTGGGACAAAGATAAATGATTGAGACTGTCCTGGACAAATCTGGACATTTTGAGGGCCTTTTGAAACCTGCTTCTTCCAATTCTGAGCTCCTTTAGGAACAATCAACATTAGTAGAGGCAGGAGAGATCTCCAAATGTGGTAGTGCCCTTTCTGTATATCTGCATCCTTGGGTGGGCTGAAGGACACTCTCTTTATCTCAGGTCAACGCAGTGCCCCCCTGTGAGCTTGAGAATGTTTTCTTTTGATGGCTCCATCTTTTTTGAAGGCCACATTCACCTCAACACCCCAGAGATTGGCCAAAACACTGATGTAGAACTCTATTTTAACTTAATCTTGACCTCTAGATTTTGGGCTTTAATTCCCCTATATCTTAGCTGTCAAGACAAATGGTCAGAAATTATGGGAGCTCTTATGCAAAACATCTGGAGAGCTCCCCAGCTAAAGGAAAACTGCTTCCTGGAGGACATTTGGAATGCAAAAGATGTGTCAAGCCTCATAAGCCCCATGCAGAGAGAGCAATGATTAGGGATGATAGTAGAGCTGAGTTCCAAAACATCAGATGGACAAAGAATTTTCTATCTGAGAAGGAAACCATCAAGAACTGTACTGTCTCCTCATCCCGCCTTGCTACCTGCTGTCCTTTTAACCAATGGTTCTGTGAAATTGAAAGTTGGACCTTTTTATATGCAAAACCACATGCTTTGCCATTGATTTATGATTTTTGCCTTATGATAACCCTGCCGAAGAGCTGTGTAGGCTAGCTTGAAACATGTTGGGTTTCCCCGATACTAATTCTTGTAATCAATCTGTTTCTGCATAAATGACACTAACACAATTTGAGATATTAGGTTCTATTGTCCCCCTCTCCCACCCCATTCCTGCTTAGGCAGAAACTACACAATTCCCCAAGCTAATAATGGATTGTAAAAGAACATCTGTGCATCTTTTCTTCCCTTGTGCACTATTTGTTTAATTGTGGTGGATTAACATAGCAAGGGGATGGTACATCATAACTAGGCAATTATCCATTCTTCATCGCTTAGTTATGGTCGTGCTAATTGGTCGTTTAACACGTAAGATAGGCTAACATTAGGAACGTTTGGGGCTGTTCAAAGAAGAAATCAACAAATTAATATTGTTGTATGATATTTGCATAATTGGCTGCAATTATTTAATGTTTAATTGGGTTGATCAAATGTGATTCAGCCCCCTCACGTGTGTGTGCCACTAGCAAGTGGTGGGACTTTAAAAACAATCATGATCAATCCCAGTGTGGCGGCTTATCCTTTCTCCCTGCTTTCTTCTTCAATATTTTTTCGGATTTACATCCAAACAAATCAGCAGGAAAGAACATCTGAAGGTAATACTTGAAGGGAAGCTACAGGCATGAAATTTCCCAGACATTTGAAAAGTCATAGAGCCACTGTGGCAGACAGGCTCAGAACCGACTGGTGGCCCAGAAACAAAACCACACTGGCCACCATTGCCAACTTATCTATCAGCCCAGGGACTCATGACATGACAAAACCACATTGGCCACCATTGACAAGAGGCCTCCATGGACTGAAGACCCCCTCAATGCTCCCTCTCCCAGTCAGAGGTTCAGTATATCAATAGCTTTTCTTGTTGAATCATAAAGCTGGAAGAGACCGCCAGGGCCACCCAGTTCAACCCAATACACAATCCATAAGCAATCACTTGTGGCCGAGTATGATTGTCTTCCAAGAGTACTGGCAATGGGTACTTAAGTGACTGGGGAAACCTGTTCTGGAGTCACATTATCTTAGCCATGAGGACATAGATTTCTAGATTGAAGGCAGTCACAACAAAGGTTTCTCCCTTTCACCATCTGTTTGGGCCTTCTCAAAATCCATAGCCCTGTTGGTAATGTACAATGTACAAAATACTCCTGACATCCAGCTTTAGAGAATGAGACTCCACCAAGCTCCAAGGCAGCATATTCCTATTGAACAAATTGCTTCATCTTCAATATGGCATCCTTTCAAGTAGTCAGACATTGCCATCATGTTCCCTCTCAGCCTTCTCTTCTAAACAGTTCCAAGCTGCTCCTCATAAGACTTGGCTTCCAGGCTTCTTACAATTTAGCCACCCTTCTCTGGAGAGGTTCCAGGTTGTCAATATCCTTGAATAGTGGTGTCTAGAAATTGACATAACATTCCAGATGAGGTCTGACTGAAGTAGAATAGCATGGTACTATTACCTCCCTCAATCTAGATGCTATAATGTTATTGATGCAGCCTAGTAAAAATGTCAGCAGCAGAGATCTCATTTGGATATATCATGAGTTATAGCTGACTACATAATATAGTCTTTGAACATTGGTCCATGTAGATCCAGATTGCTTCCAGCATTACTTAAATTTCAGAGTGGCAGAATCTATGTCATTGTATTTATTATGGCCCAAGAATTCATCAACCAGACCTTAAAGCAGAAAACAATGAATTAGAGGATTCTGATTTCAAATAACAGAACACCCCAGACTTTGCAGTGTGTTCACACACATATCCAGATTGGATTATCCCGTCTTGATAGTCTAGGGCAGTGGTTCTCGACCTCTGGGTCCCCAGGTGTTTTGGCCTACAACTCCCAGAAATCCCAGCCAGTTTACCAGCTGTTAGGATTTCTGGGAGTTGAAGGCCAAAACGACTGGGGACCCACAGGTTGAGAACCACTGGTCTAGGGCAATACTCATCCTTATTGTGCCAGTGTAGTCTATTGACTACAGGGAGCTCTGGCATGGGCTGGTCCATGAGGTCACGACGAGCAACTCAATGAATAAACAACAACAAAGTCTATTGACTAAAGAACTGTCTTTTCTTTCTCACCAGTCCATGGATTACCATTGGTCTACATTCAAGTGAGATAGATGGGGAAAAGTAGTTCTGTTGTAGTTCTTAAGTTAAACATCCTTCCCTGTCTTCTGTAAATCATACCTGTCTGCCAGTTAGACTAAGAATAATATCCAACCCCACATTGTCGAAGGCTGGACCACTCTAACAGTTACCATGTCAGGCTACACAGAGAAGCCACTGAAATCCACAAGCATGTGGGCAATTTCAACAGGAAGGAAGAAACCATGAAAATTAACAAAATCTGGCTACTAGTATTTAAAAAACTATAAAATTATAACAGTAAATAAAGAACGAAACTCAAACACGGGGGAACTCCAGACAAGAAGCAAACAGGAACAGCTAATCACCTCTCAACAAAGGATTTCCCCCAGGCAGTAATAAGCCACACCTAAAAAACTGTTAGGCCATCAAATGCTAATCAAAGTAGCCAATTGAAACATTCACATCTAGCTCCAACAGACAAGAGTTCTTTCTCCCACTCTGGACTTTCCACAGATATATAAACCTAATCTTTCTACTCTCCAACATACCTCACAACCTCTGAAGATGCCTGCCATAGATGCAGGTGAAATGTCAGGAGAGAATGCTTCTAGAACATGGCCATACAGCTTAAAAAACCTACAACAATCCATATTCAGCCCCGATCGAGTGCCAAAAAACCTGAATTGGCTTATCCACAGATAAATGTAATACTCTATCTCATTTCTCATCAACAGTAT